AGATCATGTGACACTGAAGACTGGAGTAATGATGCTGAAAATACAGCTGCGCATCACAGAAATACATTACAATTTACACATTCAAATAGAAAACAATGATTTAAGTAAAAAAAAAAAATCAGAATTGTACTGTTTTTGCTGTACTTTGGATCAAATAAATGTAGGCTTGGTCAGCAGTAGAGACTTCTTTAAAAAAATATAACTGTTCAGATATATTATAGATATATATATAAATAAGAGAGAGAGAGAGAGAGAGAGATAAACACACACATGAGTGTATGGGTGGGTGAGTGAATGAGTGTGTGTGTGTGTTTTACAGCCTCCAATAATAGACATCAAAGCGCCGCCACACACACACACACACACCAGTCAGCTGACATCAGAGACACCGCTCGCGCGCCTCCGTCAACATGCGTTCAATTCACCACAAACCTCCATTTACCTCAGCAGTATTTATTCACCTCAGCAGTCACCTCAGTATTTATTCACCTCAGCAGTCACCTCAGTATTTATTCACCTCAGCAGTCACCTCAGTATTTATTCACCTCAGCAGTCACCTCAGTATTTATTCACCTCAGCAGTCACCTCAGTATTTATTCACCTCAGCAGTCACCTCAGTATTTATTCACCTCAGCAGTCACCTCAGTATTTATTCACTTCAGCATTCACCTCAGTATTTATCCACCTCAGCATTTATTCACTTCAGCATTTACCTCAGTATTTATTCACCTCAGTATTTATTCACCTCAGTAAGTTATTCACCTCAGTAAGTTATTCACCTCAGTATTTATTCACCTCAGTATTTATTCACCTCAGTAAGTTATTCACCTCAGCTGAGGAGAAAGAAATGCAAATGAAGCTGTAGAACGAGATGAAGCTCATCATCAAGTAACGTTAGACAAGACAGAAGCGAATCATATTTACCACGAACTGACGCTCCGCGCGCTTTAAAACCATCCGATCCCAGCAGAATCATCGATATCCCAGCGATCACGAATCCGTTAAACCTCCACGAAGCCCTCCGGCAGCTCGGTGCGACGGGACTGAAGTTCATCTTCCGACGGAGATGAAGAGCAGCGCCGCCTTCATCATCATCGCCGATAAACGCACCTGCTTCACGCTCCATCCGCGACGCAATCCATCCGTCAGCCGAAAAACGCCAACCATCGCCTGAAGATCAAATCCAGCTGATAAATGAATTACAAAAACCCCGAACGCAGGAAGTTTTCTGTTTTATAAAGTGAGTTTGTGTGTAACATGAGAAGAGACGCGAGCCCAAACTCTCCTCCTCAGCAGTCACCTCAGTATTTATTCACCTCAGCATTCACCTCAGTATTTATTCACCTCAGCAGTCACCTCAGTATTTATTCACTTCAGCATTCACCTCAGTATTTATTCACCTCAGCAGTCACCTCAGTATTTATTCACCTCAGCAGTCACCTCAGTATTTATTCACTTCAGCATTCACCTCAGTATTTATTCACCTCAGCAGTCACCTCAGTATTTATTCACTTCAGCATTCACCTCAGTATTTATCCACCTCAGCATTTATTCACTTCAGCATTTACCTCAGTATTTATTCACCTCAGTAAGTTATTCACCTCAGTATTTATTCACCTCAGTAAGTTATTCACCTCAGTATTTATTCACCTCAGTAAGTTATTCACCTCAGCTGAGGAGAAAGAAATGCAAATGAAGCTGTAGAACGAGATGAAGCTCATCATCAAGTAACGTTAGACAAGACAGAAGCGAATCATATTTACCACGAACTGACGCTCCGCGCGCTTTAAAACCATCCGATCCCAGCAGAATCATCGATATCCCAGCGATCACGAATCCGTTAAACCTCCACGAAGCCCTCCGGCAGCTCGGTGCGACGGGACTGAAGTTCATCTTCCGACGGAGATGAAGAGCAGCGCCGCCTTCATCATCATCGCCGATAAACGCACCTGCTTCACGCTCCATCCGCGACGCAATCCATCCGTCAGCCGAAAAACGCCAACCATCGCCTGAAGATCAAATCCAGCTGATAAATGAATTACAAAAACCCCGAACGCAGGAAGTTTTCTGTTTTATAAAGTGAGTTTGTGTGTAACATCAGAAGAGACGCGAGCCCAAACTCTCCTCAGCGTTCTCTTCTTCTGATCTCACGCTCAAGCGACGCGACGCTCTATCAGTCCGCTAACGGAAGCCAAACCAATCACACGACAGACGCCGTGCGTTCCGACCAATCATTAGCGAGAGAGGGCGGGGCAGAGAATGACGCCTTCGGTCCTGCAGAGAGTTCGCGGAAAATCTTAAAGGCGCAGCGCAGTCATGTGCGTTCCGATTCAACTGCTATTTAACCACTTTGACGTTATAATGATTAATTAGATAATTTATTATCTCTCTCTCCTTCATCTTTCTCCCGTTCTTATCAGGGGTCCGCACAGCCGATCTGACAAATAGATAATTTATAATAATAATTTAATTTGGTTTCCACAGTAAGTTGCTTTACATAAAAATGTTTTAAAAAGTATAAAATATCACAACAGATGCATAGAATACATAGATAAAATAAATAAATAAAATATTATAATTATATCTGTATAAATGTATTTATTTATATAAATAAATTATATATTATTATATACGTATTTATTTTCACTTTTGGATTTTCCCTGTATTTCATGAATAAATATGTGTAACATAACTGTTCTGTGTTGCATAATTCTTTACTGTGAAATCTGAATGAAAATCATGTTTGATACCAGGTTGTGACAACTTAACCTTAAACCCATATAGTGTGACAACATGCCCCGACAGGTCTCAATATGTGTACATCAAATGAATTATGAACTTTTCCCTTCGTTTGATGCCTCATTGGAAAATAATGACTATCTCCATGAAGAATGGCTTTGATATTGCAATTACTAAAAACCAGCAAGGGAAGAAAACAGTTCAGATGCTTTAAACTCAAAAGCAGTTTAAACGCAACATATGAGAGACATATAACAACTAAATTAAGAGAAATATTTACTTAAAGATTGTAAATGTAACGATTAGTCCACTGAAGGCGAGTTTAAGATGAACCCAAGTGCAGCTTTATTCCAAAGTAGTGATGTTCGGTTCTTGAACGAAGTAAGCGGTCGAGCCGGTTCACAAATCGAACTGAATCGAACTTTAGTTCCGGGTTGATGACGCAGGACGCACAGCCGAAGTAGCACGTCCAACTCAAAAAGAACCGAATGAGCCGATTCAACCAGCTGTCGAAGTTTAGGTGCGAAACTTTTAGGAATCTTATCCAAGTTGTAGGCTAGTCAATATTGCTCAGTCAGTCGTATCTGAGGATCCGCGAATGGAATAAACTCCATTAAGTGAATTACATGGCAATAATCAGCAATATGCGTTCACACAAATAACTTTATGTTTGAATGTTTCAATATGCGTTGACACAAATGACTTATTTGAATTTTTCATTGATACAACATGGCACTGAGTTGTTAGAAAAGAAATGCGTAGAGACGTTATTGCTCGATGACGTCACCAACCGATTAATCGGTTTTTTTGAACCGGTTCAATGAGCCGATCTGTCCGAAAAGAACCGGTTCGCGGAAATGAATCGGACTTTGCATCACTATTCCAAAGTAATCCAAACATCAAAACAAACGAAGAAAGACTTGACTTGAACAGACTTGACTAACCAGACAGCAGGCTACAACATTAATACTCGACAGGAGATAATGAGGCAACATGAGGGCTATTTATCTCAAACATTACAGGTCACATTACAAGAAACAACCAATGAGAGACAGGACACATGACAAGACAACCAATGGCAGGATAACAAGAGGGCAAGGGAATAACGTGACAGAACAAGGACCATGACTAAACAACAACAAAAAAAAAGACATGAAAACATGAACATGAAACAAAACCCCAAAACCCCCGTTACACTAAAACACACAACTAAATTACTAAAATTTAACTAAAATTAAAATGACAACAGAAAACACAAATAAAAACAGATTTTAAGAACTATAGCCTAATGGTATCTCAATTAGGATATAATAAAATAACACTAGTTTCAGGGGAGTTTTGGTAATTTAGTGTAAAGGTAAATCTTTTACATTTTTTAAAAATCTGTTTTTATCTGACTTGCAGCACCTGGATATAGCCTACTAATCAATGTGCAATCGTGTATTTTTTTATTAATTTTTTTTTTTATCTATTTACAATTAAAAATGCTCATTGCATGCATGCAGTATGCTAAAATCAGATGTGTTCAGGCATAGACATAATAGTTATTTATTATGTGTTCAGGCATGTGCGCGGTCAGCCTGTCTCTGCGCGGTGGCGCCCTCTGCCGGATCGCGCAGCGCATGCGCAGTTAGTGATGGGAATTCCGATTTTGACCTATGTCTGGTATGTTTGCACAAATATAATTAAATTATTCAAAGTAATTAAACTAAACCATTAAAAAAAAATTTTAACTATACGATGCTTCGTAATAGATTTGTTAAACCACACTATAATTCAGATTTACACAATTCAAATCATTTTGTCATATTTATGGCTCCATAAACCTTTCCAAAATACCATACACTTATATCTTTTTTGTATAAAAACCAAAAACCTAATTTATGTAAAAACATTATTACTGAACGTTATTACCCAGATTGCACAGGTAGCCAACGATGTCTGCTAAAAACCAAAAAAAAAAAAACTTGCCCCTTTTAGACTTGCACTCTATTCATTTGCTAACTGGTTGTTTTCTTTAAAGTGCCTCTATTATGGATAATGAAAGGTTCATATTTTGGTTTTGGGAGTCCTAGCAACAGGTTGACATGCATGCAAGGTTAAAACACACTTTCATTGTCTTATAATATGCATTTATTTGTACCTTATTTGCTCAACGACTCCCAAACGATTCGCTCAACGATTAATTTTCCCAAACCTCTCCTTTGCGTGACGCTAATCTGCGCTGATTGGTCCGATGACTAAGTCTGGTTGTACACCATCGTATTGCTCTATTCTTTATCATAACTCCAAGTAATAACAACGACAAACATTCACTATTCATCGACACATTTCTAGACAATTTGCTAGATTCTGATTGCTTCCGTTGTGCTCATTTGTAAGTCGCTTTGGATAAAAGCGTCTGCTAAATGACTAACTGTAAATGTAAGTGTTGTTTGTGATTGTGGTGTGCAGGAGTTGGGTTATGGAGGCGGTTCTGAAGCGACTGCAGACGCTGACCGCAGATCAGCTGAGAGACGAGCTCACCGGCGCCGGACTCAGATGCAGCCCGGTCACAGCCACCACCAGGAGCCTCTTTGAGAAGAAGCTGGCTCGAACTCTTCTGGGGGAGGCCGCGGTGCATTCTGGGAGCTCACTTCCTGCGGAGGAGCTCCAGCAGCCAATCAGTGAGCAGAACCGAGAGGAAGTGACCGGTGAAGCTGAAACCCCAGAGCCGCAGACGGAGAGTCCGTGTGTTTATTACGGCGTGTGTCCTGAGCCAGACGACCCAGCGGCTGAAGAAGGTCTGTGTCAGTGCTGGAAACAGTACTAAAAAATTGTACTTAAGTAAAAGTATTGCTACTTAAAGCTGCTTTCTGATTTGAGTGGCACTGGTAGGAATTCAAGGGAATTCGAGCATGCTGCCGCGTCATTTCTAGAGCACGACCGATATGTTTTTTTTTTTTAAAGGCCGATACCGATATTAGTAAATAAAAAAAAGACCGATATCGATATATCGGCCGATATTCTTTGTGTGTATATTATAGTACAGTACCAGTCAAAAGTCAAAAAACTTTTGGCATAAACAGAATATATACAAATAAACACATTTTATGCAATGATAACTCAAATGTGGTGATCAAACACTTATAATGATGTGCCTGAAGACCTATATTGTTTCATATCGTCATGTGACCGCGATGACATTGAGACTCTCGCGATACCACGATATTGATAATATCATTACATCCCTAGAATATACAGTAGATTCAATTTTTCTGACTGGATTGTGTGATTCTGTCAGTGTTTTCTGCTCTAGACATGTTGCCTGTTAAGATGGCTTGTGTGAAGTGTGTCTTGTGTTGCTGATGGATTCTGTGTTCAGAGCGCTCGGTGAGTTCAGACGCTGTGAACCTGGAGAAGGCCAATGAGTTTAAGAGTCCTCGAACCCAAGATCTGACGGCCAAACTGCGCAAAACTGTGGAGAGAGGAGACGAGGAGGCGTTCAGAGAGCTGGT